GAGTTCCCACAGGTCCAGCTCCATCCTAACACTCTTGTGCTGGGACTGTGTGGATGCAGGAAGAAAGGCAGAGGGCTACAGTGAGACACTAAGGTAAAAAATACTTGGGTCTCACTAGTACTTGCAATTCATGAGTGCTAAATTCATTCAAATCATTGGCACGGAAGTCATCGGCGGTGGGAGGGAAGGGGGACACGAAACGCGTTTACCAAACTCTCCTCTTTGTTTTCTTTAAATATGGCTTATTGTGGGGAAAAAACAAGAGATCTGGAGATCAGCAATTCACTATAGTTGCCTTAAAATGATAAAAGCTGGCCCAGAATAGCAGCTACTGAAATGCTTCTTGTTCTGATAGCTGCTTCCCTCACCTGAAGTGAATTAGGAAGTATCAACATGCTTCCTGCCTGACACCTCCCTCTTCCCAAAAATAGCTTTTCAATGAGAAGTTGAGGGGGTGGTGACAGAGGATACAGACCCAAAAACCAAAACCAGGAAGGAGGTGGGACAGAGTAACTAATTTCCCATGTAATCAGAGGTTGTGCTCTTCCCCACCAGCTTCCTACCAGTGACATTCACCACTGGAGTGAGGCTTAGCAAGTTTAAAGGAAGGCAGCTGGAAAATTGATTACAAGTGAGAAGGCTTGACTGGCCGCATTTTACTCATGTCTTTACAAAAGTTGCTGTTGACAGGGATGCTCTTGGGAGCACAGGAGACAAAGCAAAACTGATGTGAAAGACAGTATTATGGGCCCAAAAGGCATGTGCACCATGAAGACAGACTAGTAAGAAGTTCAGGGGGAAGATGAGGAGTGGAGAAAGTGTAGTTAGGCCAGTCTCTCCCAAAGAAAGAGTCAGAATCACTGCTCTAAAAGAAAATCAGCCAGAGCCTTACTCAAAACATATGCAAGGCCATGGTCTGTGCTGTGGAGGAAAAAAACCCCAAACACCAAAAAAAGCTCACAACTCAACCTCCCCCCCCCAAAAAAACCACCCCAGATTTTTCCCCCAAGGCTGTGCTTATTTTCCCTCAAAATCCAGTTTCTTAGTCAAAAGTATGTTCTCATTTTTCCTGCTGGGATGTTTGCTATCTCACAT